AGGACAAAATTTGCAGACTCTTGGGCTATTATAATCGTCTTGTAAGCCTCAAAATATGTTTATTGTCTTTTTTTTAAAGCATTATCAGGAGCTCGAATCCCGCCTGGTCACAATTTTTACTTCAGAAGAGTTCTTAACTTATGTATATGCATAACTTCAGTCTTTAAATATAAATTGTTTATAGCGTTCAATGCGTAGTGAGAAACTAATGTAAGGCTGCCTTAGATATAACTTATGTGTTGACCTATAAGGGTTAGTTTTCGTTCATATCTTCAACTAGAATTTGTTGTAATCAGTGTAAGTTTAAATTGTTCCTGTAATCAGTGTAAGTTTAAATTGTTCCCGTAATCAGTGTAACTTTAAATTGTTCCTGTAATCAGTGTAAGTTTAAATGGTTCCTGTAATCAGTGCAAGTTTGTGTCAACATTAAAACATTCACTCTGTCGACATTAAAACATTCACTCTGTCAACATTAAACATTCACTCTGTCAACATTAAAACATTTACTCTGTCAACATTAACAAATTCACTCTGTCAACATTAAATATTCACTCTGTCGACATTAAAATATTCACTCTGTCGACATTAAAACATTCACTCTGTCAACATTAAAACATTCACTCTGTCAACATTAAAACATTCACTCTATCAACATTAAAACATTCACTCTGTCAACATTAAACATTCACTCTGTCGACATTAAAATATTCACTCTGTCGACATTAAAACATTCACTCTGTCAACATTAAAACATTCACTCTATCAACGTTAAAACATTCACTCTGTCAACATTAAAATATTCACTCTGTCGAAATTAAAACCAGTGAATGTTTTAATGTTGACACAGTGAATGTTTTAATGTCGACAGAGTGAACGCCAACTCAACTGACCTGTTGTTGTTTCGAATATATGTTACTTTCACTTTTTGGCTTATTCTATTGACTTTATCCCCATATTTTGTTGCTAAAGAAATTTATCAAGTTAAGTTCGACACCTGTCTGATATTTTCAGCTTGAATAACACATGGGCTAAAAGTCAGATTCTCCAACTGGTTTAGACATGGCCATCCCTAGTTTTAGACCTGCTGACCAGACACAGGGAAGCCAGTCAGCAGTACCCGTCGCTTACAAGACTACTCTTATAACCACATACAAGGTACTAGAACCTGGGAGTCGAGCACCCTAACCACCAGGCCATGCCAGGCACTAGAACCTGGGAGTCGAGCACCCTAACCACCAGGCCATGTCAGGCACTAAAACCTGGGAGTCGAACACCCTAACCACCAGGCCATGCCAGGCACTAGAACCTGGGA